GTAAGGTCTTCCGACATAAGTACACCCAGATCCTTTACATTGCTTTGTCGTTCTATGTTATGATTTGACTGCGTGTTGTCCATGGTTTCCGTTTGTATATTTTATTTTTTTTTTTCGTGGTGCAGGAGCTGTTCCGCGATTCGTTTTCTTTGCCAATAGATGGAACGTCGTTCCCGTTCCAATCAACATCTGTTACCTCTTTTTTCTTAGAGGCATGTGGCTTGAGCATATTGCTAGGTATATTGGTTATTTTTTTCCAGGCATTGGTTTAAGGTGGCACTTTCTGGCTGTTCTTCCCAGTTAGTTTCTGTGAGGTCTTGGTTTATTTGCTCTCAGTTAATCTGTTATTTAAATTGAATTCGCTGAATTCACCTACTTTAGAATTTGGGACTGTGTTTTCAGGTCTACTGCCCACAGCTGACTACTACTACACCTTACCAGTTGATTGACAGTTGAGAGGCGGGGCCAGAGAGCCAGAGCTGAACCTAATCAAGCAACTAGGCGAGTACAACTAGGTGAGTACCTGCCACTCATGGCTACCAAAAACGCTATAATGAAACAAAATAAAGATTACATACAAGACCACAAATTAGGCTAGTCCTGTGGCCTAGCCACCGGCGGCCTTGCTTCTGGCAGGTCCTGGTTCAACCATGGATGGTCCAAGTGGTCGGGCCCTAGTCCTTCACCGGGTCATTCTTCCTGGGTCGTATACTCTACACATATCCAAACTTTCATCCTGTCCGCATTTCTATATGTTATATATACACGCTTTCATACTGAAAGCGCTACTGACTTAGCGCTTTCTTCCGATAATTATATAGTAAATTTTCCGTTAAACATACCTACTCACGTGGAAATTTGTACTTTTAAACTTTTAGCCCAAATTTGAAGTTTGACTCATTATTGGACTTGTGCTCTGCCGGCTAATTTATTCGACACACCGGAACATTATTGGTGTCAATTTTGTAATTTTGCCAAAATACGTGTTAAAGTTTTACGTTAACAACGATAGTAACAAGAGGCGCATAATATGTGCTGCTTCTACCGCTAGTGAAAGGGAACAAAGAACCAGGAACAACAAAGTAGATACTATGGGATCAGCAACACATCGCTGGGCAGGAACTACGGGAAGATTTTCAACGATACCTTTTATATTAGGAAAGCGAAGACAACAGAAGCCCTTACTAAGCTAGTTTTTACCTTTTAGCTTCATGCCCTTACTCACCGGGGCGCTTAGAACCTGAAGAGAAAACGTCACAGACACACGGCCTATACACCATAGTTGTGTCCTTGGGGAGGAGAGAGGGGTGGGGAGGCTACCCAGGCTACCACACCCTCAGCCTCCCAAGAGTAATGCTGCTACTATCGACCTTCCCCACTACCACCCTACCACCCCTGCTGGCCGCCACCACCACCATACATGACCATGGTTCGATTCCACCGCCCTGCTTCAAAGATTCTCACCCACCCACCAGCACCCACCGCCGGCCACGACTAGGCACGGCTCCTCCACTGTTCCTCCACGTATATTCCCCGCAGAAATGTCACACCTGAATGTATAATTATTACCAGATTGTGTTCTAGGGAAACATGATTCGGAATAACTAAACCGGTTCCAGAACCTGGCTTATATCATTTTCTTACCACCACACTACCATGCCTGCCAGCCACATGCTTGCACCACAACCACAGCATTACTACCACCCTCTCCCACCAACCACAACAGCATCCCCCGTCAGCTACCACCTACAGCTTAATGCTTCACCATACAACTGGGTAAATGGCCCGAGGAAAGCTTACCATAATTCTTATAATGGTAGCCAGGAAACGCCCCCATCCTGCCTGCAGTACTGCCAGCTCCTGCGTCTCTCCCAACTCCCTCACCGTCTTCCATATTTTCCTCCTCCCTCCCTCCCTTCCTCTCCCCCTCTCCTGCTTCTCGCTTCACCTCACCACCTATCTCACTCGGTCCCTTTCCTTAAAAGATTTTAGCTCTCGTTCTTTCCTCGTTCTTTCGCCTTGGGAGACGTCCATACCTCCGTGAAAGAGAAAACGCGGGGTTAAGACTCAATAGCGGACCTACTGGATCACAACTTGGCCATCTGCTAGGAAATGAGAGAAAGAAGCCACCTTCTCTCATCAGTACGGGGATAGAGGGAGAGCAACAGAGGCCCTCGCCCTCCGGCTTACTCTCCCCAGCACGGTAACAAACAGGGAAGCAGCACCACCAAGCCCACATGAAAACCAACACAGAAATTTGACAGGAAAGGAGAACAAATGAGCTTGTTTTGGTGGTACTTATAGTAATGCTGTCTACAGTAGCTGCTGCTACTGCTGACAGATCACTCAACACCCCCCCCCTCCCCCGCCTGGGAGGATGAACCATATACGTTCATCCACAACAAGATGTGTGCCGTATATGTTCTCTGTATTCCCTATATGTCAGCAGTATCTCTGCTCTCAAAGGCGAGAGCCGAGCTGTACACCAGCGGGACAACCTAAATGATCTAATCAGAATGAGTATTGCGATCCTCATACCAATTGAAGGTGGATTTGAAGGTTTTGGTAATCCCTCCTATCACTTTTCTAGCTGAAGCTACTATACTTGCTGGGTTATGCTCCCTAGATGTCACTTCGTCAGAAATTATTATTCCCAGATGCTTTACATGTTGCATTCCTACTATGAGTAGATCAGATTGTGATCTTGTGTCCTGTATTTCGTTGAAGATCTGAAATTTTTCCAGACCCAAGTACCTGGAATTAGTGTTAAGCGCCATGTTATTTTCTGCTGCCCAGTCGAAAACTTTATTAATATCAGCGTGTAGTTTTCAACTGTCTTCTACACTATTAATATTTATGCAGATTTTTGAGTCAGTTGCAAAAGATGACACAAAGGTTATATTTGTATTGTCCATATCTGATATGAGAATGTGAAAGAGCAGTGGTGCAAGCACTGTGCCCTGAGATACAGAGCTTTTCACTGTGATTGGACTTTATTTTGTTTGACTGTTACTCTTTGCAGTCAATTTGACAGGAAACTAAATACCCATCACCATACTTTACCTATTATTCCCATTGATCTCATTTTATGGGGTATCACTCTATGGTCACATTTATCAAGTGCCTTGGCGAAGTCCGTGTATACCACATCTACATTCTGTTTTCTAATGTTTCCGTGATTTTGTCGTAGTGGTCAAGTAGCTGTGAGAGGCATGATCTTCCCGCTCTAAATCAATGTTGACCTGGGTTCTGGAGGTCATTGGTCTCCATGACACTGGTGACCTGACTCCTGATCACTCTAAAAAACGTTTAGTATGTGGGATGATAGTGCGACTACACTATAATTATTGGCTTATGCTTTGCTCCCAACCTTGTGTAGGGACTACCTACCTTGCGGAGGTTCCGGGGATCAATGACCCCGCGGGGCGGTCTTCAAACAGGTCTCGTGGTTGGTCGTCTGGTCAACCATGCTGTTGGACGTGGCTGTTTGTGCCTGATGTGAATCACAACCAGGCTGTTGGACGTGGCTGTTTGCGCCTGATGTGAATCACAGCCTGGTTGATCAGGTATCCTTTGGAGGTGTTTATTGAGTCCTCTCTTGAAAACCATGAGAGATACACACATACGGACATAACTGGTCGGCCAGTTATGTCCCTTATGTGTAGCGGGAATGTTGAAAATTTTCAGGGAGTTCTCTCTCCCTGAAAATCTCTCTCTCAGCGTACCTATAGTTTGTGAGTGACTGACACCACCTTAACTGCTAGCTGAGAGATTGTCTCAATCTTAGCGGCATTATTAATGTGTAGAAATTTAAACCCCCCATATTGCTTCAGTTAGGAAAACACTTTGTCAAATAGTGTTCCTGAAAGATCCCCCCACTTTTCACCTGTAAGATAACGTAAGTTTACGAGTTGGTAAATATTAATCATCTTTGATAAGCTGTTCACTTGAGACTGTTAAGCAAGTCCCAGCTGTGTTCAATTGACAGGATGAGCAACCCTGAGGGTTTATTTCCTCGTGTTGAAAATGCTGCAATGGAGGTACAGTATGTTCACTCACAGGATGAGTGACATTGCCCAATAGTGCCAACTATACCAGAATGTTCACTCACAGGATGAGTGACATTGCCCAATAGTGCCAACTATACCAGAATGTTCACTCACAGGATGAGTGACGTTGCCCAATAATCTCATCATTCAGGGGGTAAAGAAACAAACCAACCAATCTCTCGCCCGCTCTCTTAAACAGTTACATTATAAACAGCAACTGTAGCGCCATTATCAAATATTGGTTGTCAACAGGCGAATCATCACCTCGCCCCCCCCCCCAAAGTATGACCGTACAAGTGTAGTGTTCATCAGCCGCCAGTGTTAACCAGAGGGGGAGAGATCACTAATTTAATCCCGTTATTTTGTAGGTAATAACCAGGCGGTGAACCAATTGGTGCCACTGACTCTCCCAGACTGTTACTCCGTCTCTCACACTCCCCCTCTCCCTCACCCTCTCACCCTCACCCTCTCACCCTCACCCTCTCACCCTCACCCCCTCTCCCTCACCCTCTCACCCTCACCCTCTCCCTCTCACCCTCACCCTCTCCCTCTCACCCTCACCCTCTCACCCTCACACCCTCTCACCCTCTCACCTTCACCCTCTCACCTTCACCCTCTCACCCTCACCCTCTCACCCTCTCACCCTCACCCTCTCCCTCTCACCCTCACCCTCTCACCCTCTCCCTCTCACCCTCACCCTCTCACCCTCACCCTCTCACCCTCACCCTCTCACCCTCACCCTCTCTCCCTCACCCTCACCCTCTCACCCTCACCCTCCCTCCCTCACCCTCCCTCCCTCACCCTCCCTCCCTCACCCTCCCTCCCTCCCTCACCCAGCAACAATCCCTCCCTTCATCCCACCAGGAAACATCCACCAGCTAACCCCCCCCCCCTCTCCACGGTACAAATTGAGGCGATGTACCGTCACCGTCAGCGGCTCGTTTTTCACAATTATGGTGCACAGGGAGACGGCAGCATCCCCGGCACCCTCCTCCCGCCCGCCTTGGAGCAGCCCACACACGAGGGGAGGAGGTTGGCGGGCGGCACGAGGGGAGGAGGCTGGCGGGCGGCACGAGGGGAGGAGGCTGGCGGGCGGCACGAGGGGAGGAGGCTGGCGGGCGGCACGAGGGGAGGAGGCTGGCGGGCGGGACGAGGGAAGGAGGCTGGCGGGCGGCACGAGGGGAGGAGGCTGGCGGGCGGCACGAGGGGAGGAGGCTGGCGGGCGGCACGAGGGGAGGAGGCTGGCGGGCGGCACGAGGGGAGGAGGCTGGCGGGCGGCACGAGGGGAGGAGGCTGGCGGGCGGCACGAGGGGAGGAGGCTGGCGGGCGGGACGAGGGAAGGAGGCTGGCGGGCGGGACGAGGGAAGGAGGCTGGCGGGCGGCACGAGGGGAGGAGGCGGGCGGGCGGGACGAGGGAAGGAGGCTGGCGGGCGGCACGAGGGAAGGAGGCTGGCGGGCGGGACGAGGGAAGGAGGCTGGCGGGCGGCACGAGGGAAGGAGGCTGGCGGGCGGCACGAGGGGAGGAGGCGGGCGGGCGGCACGAGGGGAGGAGGCGGGCGGGCGGGCGGCACGAGGGGAGGAGGCGGGCGGGCGGCACGAGGGGAGGAGGCGGGCGGGCGGTGCACGAAGGGAGGAGGCGGGCGGGGCACGAGGGGAGGAGGAGGCGGGCGGGCGGGGCACGGTACAGGTCCCCAGACAAAGGTGCCACAGAACACGTGTAAGGCTCAACCTTACCTTCAACACATGACGGACACCAAACCAGCCAGGAAAGTCACTCACCTGAAAAGTAAAAAAATAAAATTATCACCAGTACTCAACACAGGAAATATAAACATGAAGGTGCATTAGGCTGTTGGGTTCGCCAAATCCTCCATCTATATTCACATTATAAACAATATATATATACAGTATATATATTCGGAGTTTAACTAGGCTATACACACTGAAGGTTGACAACGCAAATTAATACTTCATGAATGACAACCAGCTGGACTCGTATCTCAAGTGTGTTCCTTAACCCCTCGTAAGTCGCAGCTTGCTCGTGCACTCGGCTCAGGTCCACACTCCTCCCGTTACATCAAACAACTCACACACACCCTAACAATTTCGGGCTGGGGCCAGTGAGTGCCATCCGAGGCACTTAAAACATCAAGACTGGCACAATCCACCTAGCAGAATAAAATTACAGAAAGGACAACCAGGTATCAACTAGCATCACACTTCATAACAGTCTTTGAACTGACTTCTACCTGGAACATACCTAATGTTCTGTGAGTTGTTCAGCTCCCCGATCCCGGCCTGAGGCCAGGCTCCACTTGCAGCCCATCCTCCTGTTTTGATAGTATCCATAGTAACGATGACGGCCATTGAATATATACCGATGTACAACGACATTAGAAGGTATAAATCGGCACAATTGAGTTGGTCAGACCAGAAAACTATTTTCTAGCAATGTTGCAAAGACAAACTAAACTAACCTAACCTTCCTAGACCAAATACGCGATATCCGAGGCCTAATATAGTACATGTGTGCTATACTAGGCATAGGAATATTTATGTTTATTTTTTAGCTTCATTTTTTTCCGACTATGATGTGAACAGTAAAAAGTTATATCTAATTGCTTTGAACGGCATTTATCGTACTACGGTGCACATAGTTACAAAAACTACTATTTAAACAGGAGTATGGGTTGCGATTTGTAATAACGTGGTCCAACAGACTGTTACTTGGAGCGGGCCACAGGCCAACATATCCACTACAGCCTGGTTGGTCCGGCACTTCTTGCAGGTCCCTACCAAGTTGCTTCTTGAAGAAACCAGATGACAATGTGCACATAACCCTGGCCAACATGGGTTCAGAGAAGGACACATCACTAAGACAAGGCCCTGGATACCATGCAAGACAAGCAACGTGCCCATATATATATATATATATATATATATATATATATATATATATATATATATATATATATATATATATATATATATATATATATATATATATATATATATATATATATATATATATAACTGAAAACTCACACCCCAGAAGTGACTCGAACCCATACTCCCAGAAGCAACGCATCTGGTATGTACAAGACGCCTTAATCCACTTGACCATCACGACCGGACATAATGAGGTGATAGCCGAGGCTATTTGAACCACCCCACCGCCGGCACTCGGATAGTTATCTTGGGCATAGCATTTTACCAAATCACCTCATTCTTTGGGGCAACACGTGAGGAACACAAATGCGAACAAGCCTGAATGGTCCCCAGGACATATGCAACTGAAAACTCACACCCCAGAAGTGACTCGAACCCATACTCCCAGAAGCAACGCATCTGGTATGTACAAGACGCCTTAATCCACTTGACCATCACGACCGGACATAATGAGGTGATAGCCGAGGCTATTTGAACCACCCCACCGCCGGCACTCGGATAGTTATCTTGGGCATAGCATTTTACCAAATCACCTCATTCTTTGGGGCAACACGTGAGGAACACAAATGCGAACAAGCCTGAATGGTCCCCAGGACATATGCAACTGAAAACTCACACCCCAGAAGTGACTCGAACCCATACTCCCAGAAGCAACGCATCTGGTATGTACAAGACGCCTTAATCCACTTGACCATCACGACCGGACATAATGAGGTGATAGCCGAGGCTATTTGAACCACCCCACCGCCGGCACTCGGATAGTTATCTTGGGCATAGCATTTTACCAAATCACCTCATTCTTTGGGGCAACACGTGAGGAACACAAATGCGAACAAGCCTGAATGGTCCCCAGGACATATGCAACTGAAAACTCACACCCCAGAAGTGACTCGAACCCATACTCCCAGAAGCAACGCATCTGGTATGTACAAGACGCCTTAATCCACTTGACCATCACGACCGGACATAATGAGGTGATAGCCGAGGCTATTTGAACCACCCCACCGCCGGCACTCGGATAGTTATCTTGGGCATAGCATTTTACCAAATCACCTCATTCTTTGGGGCAACACGTGAGGAACACAAATGCGAACAAGCCTGAATGGTCCCCAGGACATATGCAACTGAAAACTCACACCCCAGAAGTGACTCGAACCCATACTCCCAGAAGCAACGCATCTGGTATGTACAAGACGCCTTAATCCACTTGACCATCACGACCGGACATAATGAGGTGATAGCCGAGGCTATTTGAACCACCCCACCGCCGGCACTCGGATAGTTATCTTGGGCATAGCATTTTACCAAATCACCTCATTCTTTGGGGCAACACGTGAGGAACACAAATGCGAACAAGCCTGAATGGTCCCCAGGACATATGCAACTGAAAACTCACACCCCAGAAGTGACTCGAACCCATACTCCCAGAAGCAACGCATCTGGTATGTACAAGACGCCTTAATCCACTTGACCATCACGACCGGACATAATGAGGTGATAGCCGAGGCTATTTGAACCACCCCACCGCCGGCACTCGGATAGTTATCTTGGGCATAGCATTTTACCAAATCACCTCATTCTTTGGGGCAACACGTGAGGAACACAAATGCGAACAAGCCTGAATGGTCCCCAGGACATATGCAACTGAAAACTCACACCCCAGAAGTGACTCGAACCCATACTCCCAGAAGCAACGCATCTGGTATGTACAAGACGCCTTAATCCACTTGACCATCACGACCGGACATAATGAGGTGATAGCCGAGGCTATTTGAACCACCCCACCGCCGGCACTCGGATAGTTATCTTGGGCATAGCATTTTACCAAATCACCTCATTCTTTGGGGCAACACGTGAGGAACACAAATGCGAACAAGCCTGAATGGTCCCCAGGACATATGCAACTGAAAACTCACACCCCAGAAGTGACTCGAACCCATACTCCCAGAAGCAACGCATCTGGTATGTACAAGACGCCTTAATCCACTTGACCATCACGACCGGACATAATGAGGTGATAGCCGAGGCTATTTGAACCACCCCACCGCCGGCACTCGGATAGTTATCTTGGGCATAGCATTTTACCAAATCACCTCATTCTTTGGGGCAACACGTGAGGAACACAAATGCGAACAAGCCTGAATGGTCCCCAGGACATATGCAACTGAAAACTCACACCCCAGAAGTGACTCGAACCCATACTCCCAGAAGCAACGCATCTGGTATGTACAAGACGCCTTAATCCACTTGACCATCACGACCGGACATAATGAGGTGATAGCCGAGGCTATTTGAACCACCCCACCGCCGGCACTCGGATAGTTATCTTGGGCATAGCATTTTACCAAATCACCTCATTCTTTGGGGCAACACGTGAGGAACACAAATGCGAACAAGCCTGAATGGTCCCCAGGACATATGCAACTGAAAACTCACACCCCAGAAGTGACTCGAACCCATACTCCCAGAAGCAACGCATCTGGTATGTACAAGACGCCTTAATCCACTTGACCATCACGACCGGACATAATGAGGTGATAGCCGAGGTCATAATGAGCCGATAGTCATTATGTCCGGTCGTGATGGTCAAGTGGATTAAGGCGTCTTGTACATACCAGATGCGTTGCTTCTGGGAGTATGGGTTCGAGTCACTTCTGGGGTGTGAGTTTTCAGTTGCATATGTCCTGGGGACCATTCAGGCTTGTTCGCATTTGTGTTCCTCACGTGTTGCCCCAAAGAATGAGGTGATTTGGTAAAATGCTATGCCCAAGATAACTATCCGAGTGCCGGCGGTGGGGTGGTTCAAATAGCCTCGGCTATCACCTCATTATGTCCGGTCGTGATGGTCAAGTGGATTAAGGCGTCTTGTACATACCAGATGCGTTGCTTCTGGGAGTATGGGTTCGAGTCACTTCTGGGGTGTGAGTTTTCAGTTGCATATGTCCTGGGGACCATTCAGGCTTGTTCGCATTTGTGTTCCTCACGTGTTGCCCCAAAGAATGAGGTGATTTGGTAAAATGCTATGCCCAAGATAACTATCCGAGTGCCGGCGGTGGGGTGGTTCAAATAGCCTCGGCTATCACCTCATTATGTCCGGTCGTGATGGTCAAGTGGATTAAGGCGTCTTGTACATACCAGATGCGTTGCTTCTGGGAGTATGGGTTCGAGTCACTTCTGGGGTGTGAGTTTTCAGTTGCATATGTCCTGGGGACCATTCAGGCTTGTTCGCATTTGTGTTCCTCACGTGTTGCCCCAAAGAATGAGGTGATTTGGTAAAATGCTATGCCCAAGATAACTATCCGAGTGCCGGCGGTGGGGTGGTTCAAATAGCCTCGGCTATCACCTCATTATGTCCGGTCGTGATGGTCAAGTGGATTAAGGCGTCTTGTACATACCAGATGCGTTGCTTCTGGGAGTATGGGTTCGAGTCACTTCTGGGGTGTGAGTTTTCAGTTGCATATGTCCTGGGGACCATTCAGGCTTGTTCGCATTTGTGTTCCTCACGTGTTGCCCCAAAGAATGAGGTGATTTGGTAAAATGCTATGCCCAAGATAACTATCCGAGTGCCGGCGGTGGGGTGGTTCAAATAGCCTCGGCTATCACCTCATTATGTCCGGTCGTGATGGTCAAGTGGATTAAGGCGTCTTGTACATACCAGATGCGTTGCTTCTGGGAGTATGGGTTCGAGTCACTTCTGGGGTGTGAGTTTTCAGTTGCATATGTCCTGGGGACCATTCAGGCTTGTTCGCATTTGTGTTCCTCACGTGTTGCCCCAAAGAATGAGGTGATTTGGTAAAATGCTATGCCCAAGATAACTATCCGAGTGCCGG